TTCCTTTTGCACTACACACAAATCCTCTGTCAGTACAGGCTTTGCAAAGTAGCTCATGTTATCTTACACATCTTATGCTACCACGGCAACTTAGTCATTTGAACTTTCCTAAGCTTCACCACCGCCAAGTTTAAGCCTCTTATATTTTCTGTGTCTGGCTTCACCTTGTCCTATACCACGAACATGTTCATTCTCATGATTTTGTATGACTTCTGCTTGTCGTCTGCACAATTTTGTTATATCATCGTATACATACGGAAAGTTGGAAGCTGTGTGCAAGTCGCGGACTGGTATGCACCTTGGAAAATTTCCAGTGGTGCGCAAAACTTCTTTTGCATGCTCTGCAATTTTAGGAGGTAGGTGTCTGCCGCTAATTCCCAGGCGGGACAAGCGTAAGTCATTACTGATCTCATCAGTGCCTTGTAGAGGGTTAGTTTAATGTTTGCGTTTAAGCGCTCACTTTTGAATAGGGAGTAGATTCTAATAAATGTTCTGAAGGCCTTGGCTTCAATCATTTCTATGTGAAGCCTCCACGTAATCCTCTTATCTAAGATAACACCCACGTAACGTATTTTACATGATTGATAAAGGGGATCTTCTGCCCATTCATTGTAAGAGTAGTCTGAGGGGGCCTAAGTTTATGAGAAAAATAGAGTGCCTGAATTTTGCCTTCATACTGAGACAGTCCAAGTCCAAGTCACATTGCGACTGACGGTCAGTCAGTCTGTCTGCTCATGACCAGATTTTTTTCCTTATGTGAAAGTTACTGTCCTGTCCATTTGGGGCGCTCTCTCTAACGAGAGGTCGGGTCTGTCATTTGTCAGTCATAGTCCGTATTAGTAAGTCCATTGTCAGTATTTACATATATTTACAAATTTAATCTTAATTCCTATTTCTGTGTACAATATAGAAGGCCTCTCTCAATCCAGGCTCATCCTACGACTCGCAGGGTCACGGTAGAAGCATTCGACCCCGCCTCCACACGGGTGAGCTTCTCAAAGTCAAAGTCACATTACGACTGGCGGTCCGTCAGTCTGTCTGTCTTGGTGCCGAGCCCCGCCTGGGGCTCATGACCAGATTTTTCTTTTTTTTTTTTTCTGGTCATGAGCCCCAGCTGGGTGAGCTTCTGTATGTTGGATTCTCGTTATATATCCTCGGGTCTGGCTTACAGAAAACGTGTCCATTGCCTAATAAGGAATGTCCACTATGGTTGCGTGTTCGTTGGAACGTGTTACCTAGCAACGGGTTCTTTACTAAGAATCTGTCATCTCAGGAACGTGTTCATCAAGCCGTTACCTGACAATGGGTCCATACGTCACAATATGTCGTACTTAAGAGAAGCAGTTAATGCCAAAAAGCCTGCGCATGCTCATTTTTGGATCGATATTGTGATCAGCCTGGCCGATATAGTCAAAAGCGTGTTTCGTACATGCGACAGGAAAAAGTGAACCTTTTCTTATATTTGCTTCAGTTATTTTTATATACCCAGTTCCCCATTATTCCGGGTGTTGTCACTGACGCTGTAATATCCCTGCAATCTCCGGTAGGGACAGACGCTTTTTTGTCAATGCCACAGCGTTCAGATCTACTCAAGGATCCACTCATTCTCCTGTTCAGTGGGCACGGGCTACCCTTTGCCGGAGGTAAACTGGCCGGATCACTTCCGTCTACTGCCATCTTCACGGGATGGTGATTAATCACGAGCAGAGACAATATTTACCGTACCATCCCGTTCCAGAAGGCATCGAAAGTAATGAATTAGCGCGGGAGTTGAAACGTACGGACAGACGGATGGACTAGTTAAAGAGCTCACAAGAAATCGTTGATCGTTAATGTCTTGGATGTTGTATGAGAGTCCCAGCCGGTGCTGGCCTCATTGTCCCTCATATTCTTACTCTGCCCTTTTGTTGTCACTGTTCTTTCATGCAGTACTGCGAAACCGAGTGAGAGGAAATGAAAATGCTTGCAGTGACACCTGTTCGCAGTTTCTGCGCCGGAACTCATTGAAGGCCATGAAACAGAATGCACATAGGGTACTGCTAAAGTGGCTTAAGGACTCATATCTCGAATGCGTGTAGCACAAAGTACAAAATGGTGGAACACAGAACTGTGTTCTCTTTGACTCCTGATATCAGCATATGGGGAACGGCATTAGTTGCGTCACGTTTCGCGTGTAAAAAGAGGAAAGGGGGACATGTTGGTCTGCGCCATTGTGGGACACAATTTCCATTGTTTTATAATGAACCCTATGCTTCTAATGCCGGTCACGGTAGCCGAGCGGTCTAAGGCATGCACTGTCTTCGCTCGCTCGGAAGCCGCGATCGTGGGTTCGAATCCCACTCAGGGCATGGATGTTTGTGTGCGTTTTTTCTGTGTTTGTCTACATTAGAGGCCTTGCGACGAGCTGATCACTCGCCCAAGGAGTCCTACCGAATGTGTAAGATCTAGAAAAACCGAATTGAACGGAGTTCATGGAGGTAGGCGTAGGACCACTGGGGCTGTAGTGCCAATGAAAAAAAAAATGCTTCTAATAACATATGTCCGTTTATGTGTTCATCTGTCTGACTCCCAGTAACTTTCGGACATATTTAATTTACGCATGTTTAATGATGCAGAACCAGGGTGGCCGCCTCTGTGGTCTAGTGGTCACAGTTCCTGGCTACAGATCCAGAGGTCCGGGTTCGATTCCCGGCGCTACCAGATTTTCTGCTAAGTAATGGGTCTGGAACGGGGTCCACTCAGCCTCGTGATGATAATTGAGGAGCTATTTCAATGAAATAGCGGCTCCGGTCTAGAAAACCGAAATTAACGGTCGTGAGGATTCGTTGCGCTGACCACGCGACACCCTCTGTCCGCTAAAATTGGCACTGAGTTTGCCCACAGGCGGCGGTCGCTCGGTCGGTATAGTTCGCTTGAGGACTAAAACCACGGAGTTCTTTTATGCAGTGCATAAAAGCATTTTCCGTGTTGAACTGAGGAAATCCGTGATATTTTCATGGTAGTTGAAGCATCGGTCAGGTCTCCTACGAATCATAAATGGACCATTCAGTACACACCGGAAAGGTGATAGAGCTGTTAAAGTACTATAAAGAAGTAAATAAGTTGCTCCTGTACTTAATTATGAACCATACCATGAAGGCGTGTTGGGGAATAGAGGCATACATTCACTTATTCTTAACTTCGGCACTGGATGGGGTGAGAAGTCAGTCTCACGCCCAGGCCGTGCCCCCCCCCCACTACAAAAACTCCGTTACCGCCGAATACGGGGCTGGGTTGGCCCAGAGACGGTCTGAACGTTTTGGAAAAGCGAGAAATCTTACTGAATCGAATTCCTCTGTCGTCCAGGACGTAACTAGTCGCCATACCGACAGCAGGAAAATTGTTATGAGAATATGAAGTGGAGTGAGCTGGTTCAGGATTATATCCTGTTGTGTTGAGTGTTCTGGTTGGATATTTGGATTGATGGGTAGGTTTGTACTGCCGTAATGTCATACGTGAGTTGGAGAAAACTGCATAATGAGGAGCATCATAACTTGTACTCTTCTCAAAGTATAATTAGAATGATAAAATCAAGGAGGATGAGATGGGCAGAGCATGTAACACGAATGGATGAGAAGAATACATATAGGATATTAGTGGGAAAACCAGAAGGAAAGAGATCGCTGAGAAGACCAAGACGTAGGTGGGTGGACAAATTAAGATGGATCTTAGAGAGATATGGTGGGATAGTATGGATTGCGTTGATCTGGCTCAGGATAGGTACCACTGGAGGGCTCTTGTGAACACGATAATGAACCTTCCGGTTCCGTAAAATGTTGGTAAGTTCTTGAGCAGCTGCACAATTAGCGGCTTCTCAAGAAGGGCTTAGCTCCATAAGTGAGTGAAGATTATACGTGGCGTGAGTGAGCTGAATGCACCCCGAACTGTGGATTAGCCAGGCAGGAGGCAGGATTGTAGGTTTGTAGTCGCCTTTCGTCTCACGAATGTATCTTATCAGATAGATGAAACAGTCCCCACTGCTCCTGTCATGTTCCTGCGCAACCGAGCGAACATGACCAAGAAACCCTAACAGTAAGTAGGTATATAGTGACTTCCTTGGAGAGATCAGAAAGCAGCAGACACACTAAGCGTCAGCTGTCATGCGACCAACCACACTGCGATTGGTGAAGAAACATTGGCTTGTAATTTCCACTCCAGTTCCTTGTAACCTAGTCACGCTGTTTCATGTTCTCTTCAGGCTGACTGATATTAAGACCTTGCCGAGGTCCGGTAGTTTGTTCCTGATTTCACTTGGTACTTTGCAACCCGCTGATCACAGTGGCCGTGCTGTCTAAAACATGAACTATATTCGCTCGCTCTGACGCCGGGATCGTGGGTTCAAATCGCAATCAGGACATGGATGTTTTGTGTGTGTATGTGTTTATTCGATATTTGTGTTGTCCATTGTTTAGGTAGCGGCCTTGGAACGGACTGATCATTCGTCCAAGGAGTCCTACCGTCTGTGAAAAATGAATAAGGAAATGATTAAGAGGCCAAGTCCCTAAATGGGCTGGAAGAGCCATTGAAATAAACGTAAATCCGCCGGTCACAGACATGAACTGTCTTCGCCCGCTCGAACGCTTGGATCGTGGGTTCGAATTCCACTCAAGAGCAAAAATGTGTGGGCGTTTATTCTGTAGCGGCCTTGCCACGGGATGATCCTCCGTCCAAGGAGTCCCACGGACTGTTTATATAGGATTAAGAGACTGAAAAAACTGTCAAGGTCTAACAAAGGACTATAGAGCCATATATAGAGAGAATATGCAATTCATGAAATTTGAATGCAGTTATTGTTAAATAAAAGGATGCATCAGCATTGCAAACTTACGAAATTATCAGTGCTGTGAAGTTAATAAATTTTACATATTTGCAATTAGGTTATAATCTAATCATATCCTAGCGCTACTGGTGAGTTTTGTCAGACTTCTTGCACACATGGCCAGGAAAGGAAATGTATGATTATTTCAGTTGCAAAATCTCACGTGCTTTTAAAAATGGTCTTGACGCGTAGGAATAGAATATGAGGATGGCAATGACGTGGATATTACGTAATTAGGTTGTATAGACGTGAAATGGACGCCATTCCATTCATTATGCAATTAGACGCCGACTTCTCACCGCAGAGATTTGAGTTCTATTCCAGATGACTTAATTTGAGATTCACGGTAGACGAAATAACACTGGATTCTATGTCCTTCCATTTTCCCCTACTAATCATCATTCCTCCATTGCTCCATACTGATGTACTATCACCTCCTGAGTGAACGGCCCTCCCACCAGGCGGCACATTATCGTGGCCTTGGTCTGTAAGCTTGCAGCTTCATCTCCGACCCTGCAGTTGGATGCTTACAGAATGATGAAGTTCCTTTTAAGAAGCCCAATAGACTGATGTCCTTCTGGCTGTCAGACCACTGCAAGATATTTGTGATTACCCTTTGCATGTCGTAACCGGACATTTCGTGACCATCTTGATAATTATTAGTTGCTCCGGAAAGGTATTGTGATGTATAGACCCATTGCTAGGCAACGACTCAGTACACACATTCCCGCGGGAGCCAACGCGCGCAATTTGACGTCTATTTCTAGGCAACGGATCAGTGAACAAGCCTTGTCAACAATAGAGAGGCTTTGTTTTCTGTATTGTCCATGCCGAAGGGTTATAAAGGGACAAAGAAGGTCGTTTGAATTAACCCCGTGTGGAGGCGGGGTCGAATACCTCCACCGTGGCCCTGCGAGTCGTAGGAGGCGACGAAAAGGGAAGTCTCAGTTCTGAGACAGTAAAATATGGTCGCGTGTCCCAAGGGACTCGGACCCGAGTAAGACTGCGCTGGCAAGGGCCAGCAGCATATACAAAAGACAGACCCGTCCACTCGTCAGAGAAGGCGCCCCACATAAACAAGACCGCAACTGTCAAACGATAATAATTAATATCTGGTCATGAGCCCCAAATGGGTCTTGACACCAAGACTTAGGCCTACTGACTGACTGACCGTCAGTCGCAATGTGACTTTGACTTTGACTTGACGTTTGAATTAGTTGTCAGAAGCTGAGAGAGTTCAATTGAAGAAGAGTTCATTTGAAGTGATAGTTGTCAACAATTGGGTCGAGTTATGGAGATGGCACTTTAAGGTGATTGAGAAGAAATAGCAAGAAAGGAATCAAACTCTGACAAGAAGACTTCATATGGGATTTGAAGTTACAGTGAGACGGTTATAAATCCGTTGCCGGGATACGACTAGTGAAGAGTGAGAATTGTAGTGCGTTTATAACGGTGAATTGTGCGGAAATAACAGTAGCGCTGTATTGCATGTAATCCCGAGTTGTATGTGTGAATAAAATATCAATAAATCCAATCAGAAACCCCGTCTTATAAATCACGAACATCTCTATAGAACTGACAGTATTCTACCATAACGTTAGCTAATCAATTGGGTGGTTAGATAAAATAACAAGGCAAAACCTAACCATAGATAATGTGAGTTCAGCTCATGTCACAGTCAGCCAAGACCTGTCTGTTTGCATAAGTTTCTGTGACCTTGTTCGGCACACTGTGGTTGGCGGCTCCTCCAAGTACTTCAGAGCCTAGTGTGGGGTGCAGGCAGCTCCTTTATTCTCTCCCTCATACAGAGATGTAAAAGAAAATGCGGGCGGGAGAAGGGGTGACCAAAATTTCAATAACTTTTCTTTATTATGTCGACTTATGTCTGTTATAGTGTTTCAAATATATCCTGTGATCATCAGGCATCCACGTAACATCCAGAACTGACCTCTATGCCGGAGGAAAAGGTAAAGTTGTCCCTGTGCTTAATTAATTAATTAATTAAGCACTACGCCATGAAGACGTATGGAGTAGTGCATTCATAGAACCACATTTTCTTGACGTCGGCACTAGCTGGAGGTGAGTGGTGAGCTTCACGCCCCGGCCACTTTAACCCCAGGGAAAAGAGCCACCGGTACCCATTGGTTAGAAGAATGGGTCGACCCCAGAGCAGGTCAGGAAGACTGGAGAAGAGAAAATTCTTGACCCTACATCGATTCG